AGGTCCAGTGTTTAGGGCAGGGCCTGGAACCTAGCAAGCTGGAAGCAAGCTTGGGCAGAAACTGTAATGTCCTCACTGTTGACTTGTAGCTACGGAGGGCCTATGTCCAGTTTATGCCCATAAATCTGAGTGGGCCTGGGAGGTCTTTACTATTCCACAGGAAAATGTCTCAACCTTGATGGTTGCTCCTTCAGAAAATTTGGCTGTTCCATTGTTCAACTTCCTTCTTCATTCAGATGAACAGAATTGTCTAAACAAGACAACTATCAGAGCCCAAAATGCTGGCGGGAAGGACAAAACCAGATGGGGGTTCCAGTATCTTTATTCCTCTGTGTTGTATGTTTGGTGGGGCTTCCTAGAGGGCCCCCCCTTTTTTTTTCCGAGACAGGGTTTCTCTGTGTAGCTTTGGAGCCTATCCTGGCACTTGCTCTAGAGACCAGGCTGGTCTTGAACTCACAGAGATCCACCTGCCTCTGCCTCCCGAGTGCTGGGATTAAAGGCGTGCGCCACCAACGCCCGGCCTACTTTTCTTTTTTTAATTCTTTTTTAGAGACAGGATTTTACTATGTAGCCCTGGCTGTCCTGGAACTCACTCTGTAGACAACACTGGCTTCAAACTCAGAGATCCACCTGCCTCTGCCTCCCATATGCTGGGATTATTTTCAAACAGGGTTTTCTAAATTACCCATGAACTCCCTGTGCAATTCAAGTCAGCCCTGAACTTGTGATCTTTATTGCCTCAACCTCTTCCTCTGCAGTAGTAGAGATTGCAGGTCTGGGCTACCAGGCTGGGTCCAAAAATCTTTCCTATTGTAAAGAAACAAGAAGGTGCCTGGCAGTGGTGATGCACACCGTTAATCCCAGCACTTGGGAGGCAGAGGCAGGCAGATCTCAGTGTGTTCCAGGCTAACCTGGTCTACAAAGCAAGTTCCAGGATAGCCAGGACTGTTCCACAGAGAAACCCTGTCTCAAAAAAAAAAAAAGTGTACTTTAGAATTATGTATTGATAATAAATCATGAAGGTAAATGAGGAAAATAATAGAAAAATTTGGAAGGAATTGTGTCAGGTATAAATAGAAATACATCTGTGTTTTTCCATCCTTTACCACTATGCAGTTTTCCACAGTGAACATTTAGTTACAGGAAGAATGATTAAGTGTTGGGGGATGGGGGCTTTCACATCACTTTCCTCTTAAAGCAAAAACAGTCATCTTAGTACCCTGTTATATTGTTCCCTTCCTTCCAGCAAAATAAACACAATTCAGGTTGTTGCTCAGTGTTTTCTGTACATGCTCCATTTACTGCCATCTAGCCTCCTTCCCAAGCTCAGAACAGGCTCCAGCCCAGAAGGATCAGCTCTCAGATGATGAACCCAGTGCTGTTCCTTTTCCCTCCCAGGGTTCCCTGAGTTCTGGTATTCTTGGCATCATCTCTTCCTAGGAACTTCTGGTCTGCTCTGTGGCATTCCTTTTTCCTCTGCCCAGGGACCCAACCTTTCTGACCACTCTGCCCAGCTGGGTTCTGTAAGGCTCAGTGCGCTCTTAAGTGTGGACCCTGGCTCCCACCCTATTTCTTCTGTATGCTCATTCTTCCTGGGTGACCGAATCCATTTTGACTTTGATGGTCTCATCTGTTTGACAGAACGAATAACCTACACACCAGATAAATCTTAACAACAAACAAACAAAGACTTGGGGCTGTGATGTAGCTTAACTGGGAAAACGCTTGACTAGCATTTACAAAGCCCTGGGTTCTAGCCCCACATATCAGAAACTGGGCTTGGTGGTGCTGGTTTGTAATGACAGCACTTGGGAGGCAGGCAAGGAGGGTCAGGACCTCAAGGTCATCATCTACTGGAGTGCTGGTCTCAGAACACAGACCTAACAGTACTGAGGCTTCTCATTGGGTCCTGGTGACAGTCTTGAGCACAGTGGGGACAACCAACCAACTGTTTCATAGGTGAAGACAGCAGGGTTAAGGGGTGTGTGACTTGGCCATGACCCCAGAGCTGCTAAGGCCAAGTCTGGAATTCCAGTTGTGTTCCCCCCTCCTCCCTAAAACCTAGTTCTACTGTTTAATTCTTGTCCTGGGGCGGGGCTTAAATTTTTATTTATTTATTTATTTTCCAGTTTTTCAAGACAGGGTTTCTCTGTATTGTTTTGGAGGCTGTCCTGGAACTCAATTAGTAGACCAGGCTGGCCTCGAACTCATAGAGATCCACCTGTCTCTGCCTCCCCAGGTGCTGGCATTAAAGGCATGTGCCACCAATGCCGGGCTCTCTTTCTTATTTTTAACAGTGGGTGTCTATTTGTTATATGAATATAGTATCCCTGGAGAGCTCAATAGGGGTTGGATCCCCTAGAGTTAAAGGTGATAATGAGCCAGCCCACATGAGTGCCGGGAACCCAACTCAGGCCTGCTGCAAGAACAGGATAACCCTTAATTGGTGAGCCATCGCCCGCCCTCTATCCAGCTCCCAATGCTTCCTTCCTTCCTTCCTTCCTTCCTTCCTTCCTTCCTTCCTTCCTATCCTTTCCAGCTTTGTAATAAATCCTGTTAAGACTCTCTCTCTCTCTCTCTCTCTCTCTCCTCTTTCTCTCTCTCTCTGTGTGTGTGTGTGTGTGTGTGTGTGTGTGTATTTAGTGGAATGACTTCCAGGCCGCAGTACAACAATGGCTAGCTGTGAATAGAAAGTCCAAGAATCTAGTAGGTGCTCGGTCCCACGAGGCTGGGTGTCTCAGCTGGTCTTCTGTAGGTGCTGGAATCCTGAAGAAGTAGGCTCCAAGGCCAGTGAAGGAATGAACGTGCTGACAGGTGAGGGCAAGCAGATGAAGAATGAATAACCCTTCCTCTTCCTTTGTCCTTCCATTGTCCAGCAGAAGATGTGTCCAGATTAAAGGTGAGCCTTCTCACCCCAGGATCTGGATTAAGGGTATGTGTCATCCTGCCTCAAGATCCTGATCAAAACCAGATGTTGTAATCCCAGCACTCAGGAGGCAGAGGCAGGTGGATCTCTGTGAGTTCCAGACCAGCCTGGTCTACAATAACTAGTTCCAGGACAGCCTCCAAAGCCACAGAGAAACCCTGTCTCGAAAAATAAAACAAAAAGGACATGTCTAGCTGAATGGTGGTGGTGGCTCCTAAGCCTTTAGTTAATCCCAGCATCTGGGAGGCAGAGCCACGCAGATCTCTGTGAGTTCAAAGCCAGTCTGGTCTACAGAGTGAGTTCCAGGACAGCCAGGACTGTTTCACAGAGAAACGCTGTCTCAAAATAAATAAATAAATAAATAAATAAATAAACAAACAAATAAATAGAATTACATTTAGTGTGTGTGTGCTGCGCCTTCTTCCACTATGTGGGTTTGAATGATAGAACTCAGGTCTTCAGGAGCCTGTACCGTCTCCACCCTGCTCCCCGTTTTTCTTAAAGGAAATTAGACAGATACAATGTATAGAAAGCAAGATGGAGAAACAATTCATCTCCTCAAAAAAACTTAACTGCCTCCCCCGCCCCATGCTGTAGAAGGAACCCGGCCTTTGGCACGTATTCTACCACTGACCTATTGACCTCCTCCCATCTCTCATTTGTTCTTTTTGTCTACTTTTTGAGACAGGGTTCCACGAGGCAGCGTTGGCTGGCCCAGAACTCACTGTGTACACTAGGCTTGCCAGGAACTCTGCTTGCTTCGGCCCCCGAGTGCTGGGATCAAACGCGCGCGCCAGCATGCCCAGATGTTTATGTTTAATATTTCAGACGAGAATGAAAGGTAGAGTAAGGTTGCTGTGAGGATTACAGACTGAAAGCATCTTCCCGGGGGCCTGACCACATCGTCCTAAAGCTTGCCAGTTAATATTACCGGCCTCAAGAACTTTGCTAAGTACTTTTCAGGTATCATTTCATTGAACATTCGCCTTTTGGGGAATAAGAGGCTTAGAACTATTAAGTCATGCTATAACTATACACGTTCCAAATAAGCCCAAACTTGAACCCAGAACCCGCACTAGCAGGAAAGCCTGGGCCAAGGGCCATGCATGTTTCAAACGCAGGAAGGGGTTACAGACTAGGCTCAGTCACATCTTTTGATTCCACACTGGTAACCCTGATAACCTATAAACAGGATTTGGGGAGACAGAAAGAATCAGGACGAGTTGACCTTTGCATCTAGGCCTGACCCCCCGCTCCCCCCCTCCAGGAGTGTCCCGCGATCTCGGCCTCTCAACAGCCCTCGCAAGGCCCGAGCTCGCGAACCGCCCTAGTCGCTCGGCTGAGGTGTGCATCCTCCGAGCGGCCCACAATAGGGACGCGTCCCCTTTAA